CATCACTGGCGTAAGGCCCTTCCTGTCTCAGCCCCAAGGCCCTGTTCTGGAAAAAGCGCTGGCACCGCAGGGTCTGGATCTCGATCTAGACACCCTCACAGCTCTCCATGCACCAGGCCACCCTCTAGCTCTTGTTCCAGCGCCGCAACACATGCAACTGGGATTTTGAGAAAATCGTAGCCCATTATAAACTTGAAACACACACTCACAAAACAAACACGTTGATAATATAGGCCAAATACTGACCAGCTGTTAAAGAAAAATCGCAGCTATTCTTAAGAAGTTGGCATTTTATGAACCATCATCTACAGATTCTCCAAACAAGCGGCAGCGTGAAGTAGTTTCAAAGTTGTCGTTCGCATTGTCCCAGTGGAGCTTTCTCTTTCCCCCCTCTTTGTCCCCTCTGAGAGAGACTCCCTAAAAATTGACAAATAGGCCCTAAGGTTCATCGAAGAATGGAGAAAGCATCAGAGAGGCACATGGATGGACCACACACCAAGCTGTCCACACAATATTTTAAACGCGTGACACGGGTACGGATTTGCAGAAGGAAATTCCCTTCACACCTCTTCCTCTCTGCGCTGAAACTACCAGAGGACTTAGAGGTACTCAACCTGTGGGTCGAGACCCCTTTGGGGGTCGAATGGCCCTTTCACAGGGTTCGCCCGATTCATAACAGTAGCAAAATGACAGTGATGAAGTAGCAACGCAAGTCATTTTATGGTTGGGGGGCCACCACAACATGAGGAACTGTATGAAAGGGTCACGGCATGAGGAAGGTTGAGAACCACTGCTCTAGAGAATAGCAACTCCCCGGAGAGTTAGAGCCATACGGAGAGAGAGCCCTTTGTGATCTCACTCAGGAATGACTCAAACAGAAATGTTCTTTAAAAATGAAAGTGAAAGGAAAGGTGCTGCTTAACCTAAACCCCAGAAATCAGCAGGTAAAGATGAGAACCTCTGGCATTTACCCTCCCATTAAAAAAAATCATTTTATTGGGGGCTGGTACAA